AACTAATAAAAGGTTTCCAAATCAATAAATTGAATCTTTAAAACCAAACAGGTTTACATTTTACACAGGTTGCAGACCCACAAACAAAAATGGAACAAGAAACCTAGGCATATGCATCAAGTGTGTATATATATGCACACACATATGTAAAAAGAGTTGTAGGGTATTATCATCAATAGTTAAGCAACCCACTTTAGCATACAAATTAATTGATAGTAAAGACGGATACCCAATTTGAGCACAAAAGAGACGAAGAGGTATAAGTTTTTTTTGTTCCCAAGTTGAGCTTGAAGAAGATTTGGGCAACAAATGTAAGAAGATGAAGAGAATTGAAACAATGGTATGAAATTGAGGAGATGTTGCGTTTATTTATTTTTTTGTTTCTGCTTGGAATGGTGGAGAAGAGTACAGACGATTCTAGAAATTGAATGTCAACGTAAAATTACCAAACTACCCTTGGTCGTCCTGGTTGGCTTCACTCTTCTATATAATAGAAATTATGTTATAATTTTGTGGTTTCTCAAATTGAATTATGCTTTTATCGATACAAGTTCTTAAGGAACTAAGTTTGAACGCATAACTTGTAGTCGGGTTCTGAATGCTTCTAACGGCATAAGTTCTCAAAGATTAAGCTGTTATGCCTTGTAAAATATCACATAATCAGATATTAGATAAACTTTTTGTTTCAATTGATATGATGTTAAAAATATTTGTTTAAAATGGCGATAGTGGTTGATGGTCATCATCAATGACAATTGTGAGGTAACGTTTAATTAGGGGTGGCAAAATCAAACCCAATCCATTTAGGTTTGAGTTGGACAGTTGGTTATTGACTCGTCCATTTGTTAGCTCAAATCATTTCAACCCAACTGGCACATATACCGTTGATAAGATTCAGATGTCCTCCACAAGACACAGGCAAAGAAAGAATATATTTTGAGTCACTAGATATGATATGTCTTTCTTTAGTTTTTGTTATATATGACCTGTTTTTTCAAGGTTGTATAATAATGTTTATTAATGGAGGTTTAGGCTATCGTCCACTTTTGCTTGTTCTCTGTAAGTCTGTATAGATCTTGGATGAAATAAAAGGTTTGCGCCACCTAAGGTGTAATTTTTTTTATTTTTTTTTAAAAAACAACTCATTTCAACCCATTAAAAATTGGATTGATGTGTAATCAAAATAGATTTTTGAGAAATTTTGCAAAATATTTTTAAAAAAACTTTTTATTTATATGTTATATATAGTTATAATAAAGAAAATAATTTTTATTAGGTACTAAAAACTTATAAAATAACAAATAAAGCTATTAAAAACTTAGTAAAAAAATTGAGTGGTTAGGTTATGACCTATTACTAACCCGTTACCTAACACGTTTTGAACCAATCCATTTTGACCCAAACAAATTTGGATTGGATTGGATTGGATTGGGTATTGACCCGTTTATTGTCTTTACCCATTTTCATCCGCCCAAATTTAATCCAACCCGCCCAATTGTCACCCCTACATCTAATGACTATACAACAGAGAAACACTGAGAATTTAAATTTGATTATCTGCTATACATAATAATAATCATAATAAGTAGATTAACAAATAAATATGTATATTTTAATTATCTACTATACATAATAATAATAATCATAATAAGTAGATTTTTTTTAACAAATAAATATGTATAGATTTCAATAAAATTCTTAACATAATAATTTTTTTGAATTGTTTGCATCAAAAGTTGCATGAATGATTCGTAAGGTATATATGCATACATAATTTAACCAAATTTTATCAAGAAATAATACATTTTTAAGCCAATAGAAGTTTATCTTTAAGATGTTAAATTAATGATGATTTTTTTTTTAAAAATAATCCTAAAAACATATAAGCAAAGTTTTGCTAAGTAAATAGTAGTTGTAGAATAGTGGTGTTTGGTAAATATTTCATAAAGTGGAATAAATCATGGATTAGTTAATATCTCAAACTAATAATAAGATAATTATTCAAAATGAATTTTTGTAATTCATACTACCAAAATAAATAAATTTAGTGATTTTAAACAAAACATGCACACTTAATAAGTTAAAATATAAAATATAAATAATTCAAATTTTAGACTTCAATCAATGGAAAACAACTTTACCAAAAATAATCATTTCAACTTGTCGTCATCTTTATAGATATTTTTTTTGACCCCTTATGGCCTTATCTACAAGTAGGATTTCTAACACCTGTAAATTGTAATGGATTAGACAAAAGAAAAGATTAGTTTGTAGTATTTACAAATATATTTAAAGGGAATGCGTTATCTAACGTCTTATATATATTTACTGTTTGAAAATATAATCTTCTCTCTTTTTAAAAAAAAATATTATATTGTTGTTATAATTTTTATTTTATTTTTGTTTCATGAATCATGATATAAATTCTTTCTTATTTTTAAAAATAAACATCATATATAATTTTATGTAATATAAAATTATACTTTATTCTAAGTTTTTGAATAACATAAATTGCAAGCAAATGTTATACTTTCTCCGTCCTATTTTATGTGGCAATATTTGACCGGACACAGAGTTTAAGAAATAAATGAAGACTTTGAAATGTTTACCAAATTGCCCCTTCAAAAAATAGTCATATTAAAAAGTAGACTCACTTTTCTCTCTACTCATAAATGTATTGGAGTACCATCTTTAAGATTAAGTGGGACCAACAAGGGTTAAAGATGAATTGTACCTTTAAATACTTACCATATAAGAAAATGTGACATTCTTTTTGGAACTGACCAAAAAGGAAATGGTGCCACATAAAATGAGACGGAGGGAGTATGTTATACAAATTAACGGATAATTCAAATAAAAGTAAAAGCATTGATGAAATATAATTATATAAATTATAAATACTCGATTTTTAAGATTATTATGTTGCTCTCGTAAATACCTTATTAGTGTATTATGAAGTTCAAAATAAATATTTTTGTTCTTCATTTTTATGTTTAGCTAAAAAATGTTCAGATCATAGATTTTCATCTACCACCATTTCTATTGTTGCAATTGGACCTTTAGAGTAATGGATAAAAGAAATCAACGATTGTTCTTGAATACATGCAATAAGAGCAAATATGAATAATGGATTAAAGAACTTAACAATTACCATAGTCGCAATCACAATCACAATAATTTTTGATCCATACGCTTTTTCTTTTTAGATTGCTTGAATTATTATTTAAATTTTATACATTTCATAGTGAATAATAATTATAATTGTAAATTATATATTTAAAGTGATGAATTTTTTTCTAAAAACAAAATTATTAATTGGGAATGAAAGTAGTATAAATGTCAATAATATATTTTTAGATATTATATAATATTAAAAATAATTATGAAATTAAAGATTTAATCAATGATTATATATGATTTATAATATGTTAATTATAATTACTATATAATATTAATAATATTAAAATAAGTAAAAACTAATAGTTCTCCAAAACCTTGCTAAATTAATATAGGTGGTAATATATGTGGAATTCTGAAATATTATTATTTTATTTTGATGAAGGTTTATTTTGATTGCATCAAAATCACAGTATCTTACTAAATTTACGTATCATATTTATTAAATTCACATAAAAAATAAATTTATTATACATAGAGTATAATGAATGTGTTAGTATCACCGCACCTTACTATATTATATACCATTGAATTCATATAAAAAATAAATAGGTTATGCATAAAGTACAACGCATGTGAACTATTCATTATAATATTTATTTTTTGTTAAATGATTCATTGTAAAAAATAATAATCAAGAATTCAGTTATTGTTTGTAAAATAAATTCATTATACATAATGTTTATATTTTCTTAATAATCATATATTATTCATTGTATTTTTACTAAAAACATTCAACGTATGATGGTGATAGAATAAACTATATAAGTAACATATGCAACTTCTTGAAACCATATCAAAATATGACTTCTTAGTTAAAATGTGTCACTGAAGCAACAATGACAAATTATCAAGTACGTAAAATATTAAGTGAGTACAAAATAGATCTTTCTACACGTACTTGAAATGCAATTGTGGCAACATCGAAACTTTGAATTTAGACGCAATAAGAAAAGTTAAAGATGAGCTTCAACTAGATTTAAATTTTAACAAAAAACAAAACACAATAAAATCAGATTTCACTAAATTGTCTTAGATATATTTGTACTTTAATTTTTTTTTAATTTATAATATTAACGGAAGCATATATTTATATAGGGGTCTTCTAAAATTATATTATCTTATTGAAATGAGTGATTTTTTTTTCCATTGGCCCAAATTGAGACTGGAAAAAGAATAATATTTTAGAGGGATTATTAATTTTACTGAGGTTTTAATATAGTAATTTTGCCGATGAGATAAAATAAAATTATAGTAAGTAATTAACAACTTCAGTTTTCAATAACGGGTAGTTAAAACAATTTTTAAATGATATAATTAATTAACATATTTTTTTTTTGTAGTGATAAATATGAATTAGGTAATAATCTAAAAAAGGTAGTAAAATAAAACTTAAGGTAGCGTAAATTTCACACGCTTTACAATCTCAAACTTTTATAAATAGCAGACCATCCACATAAACATAATGCAAAGTAAAAATACAACTCCCTTTCTCTCTGCCATTAAATAAGCTTTCTCTCTCTTTTTGATGGATTTCAAGATTTTCATATGGACACTTGGGTTCTTTAGGATATTTTGATTGGTTCTTTAGGGTTTTATGTTGAAGAATTTGACTTCTTGATGTTTCTTGATTGACATTCATGATGTAATTGATATTCTTTTGATTTAGTGGTTTCGTATGTTTAAGAATTTACCATTTTTTTCTTTTAATCAAGATTCTACAATGTCTTGTCTTTAGCAAAGAATGTATGGTGGTACCTAAAGTTGTCTCATGGATGTTTTGGTCACTACTTTTAGGCTCTTTTAGAGGGTTGTAATTGTTTGTGGTATCTTTAATGGTGAAGTCTCGGTCAAGATCAAATAGATTTCTGGGTTCTTTATTGTTCCTATTTTTTCTTTAAAATATACCAAAAGTTGAATGCCTGCTGTTAGAAGATTGGATGGTATTATTTCATTTTTCCTAAAATATATGAAGATTAATAATCAGTGTTTGTTGCATTCGACATAAAAGTATGCTTTCTATCTTCTTCTTTTTTGTTGATGGATTTCATAATGCGATTTCAAGATTTTCTTGATTGGAATTCAACCCTGTAATTGATATTGTTTTGCTTTAGTGGTTTATTAGGTTCAAGAGTTCACAATTTTGAAAAACTTCTGCATCTCCACTACATTTTTTGCTCTGTAAAGTTAATAAAGATACATCTGTGTTTTCGTCTACAATGTTCTCTTGTTTTCTTCAAAATATCTCGCTGATTCTCTCTTCATTCGATCCACCATATGGTTATAGTATGGAGTACTAGAGGAGCTTTGTGGAGGCCTCTTCTGTTCCAATATAACAGCAGTTTTTGAGGGATGCACTATTTCACTTCTAGGGATCATCATGGCTAAGATGTAACTTTACAATGAATAAAGGTGTTCACATCATCCTATCTTTCCTCACATATAGAACATATCTGTTGCAAATTATCATTCCTTTCCTGTGCTGACTGTGTTTGAGATTATGGAATACTTTTGAGTTTACAATTTTCATAACCCTAAGAAATCAGGACAACGTTCATACTTTTTATTTTTTGTTTTGATAAAGTACACTTTTCTATTATTTCTCATCACCTCTCTTCACTGCATCAGAAAAGCAATGAGTTGTAATGGAGGATGAAGAAATTTAAGCAACTGGCAATAATCCTCTAAAGAAATGTTTGGCACATGTAGGCTTGGTACACCTGAAAAATAGCCTCTTTCCCCTTATTTCCTTTTGTTGCACCCATCAGGTTCCTATATTCGGGCATACATTTACCCTTCTAATAAATTTATCAGGACGACAATAATGATATGGCCCTAAGACCTAATCATTTCAGCTCAAATATGTCTCAAAGAGGTAGAAGGAGAGAGATTGCTAATAATCCTGGACAAGCTTATTTGATAGAAGTATAACAAAGTGCTTAAAGTTTGGTATGATAACTATAAAATGTAGTCTACTTGTCGAATTGCTGCTCACACATCTTATTAAGTATTGATCAGAAAATTGTCAAATACATTTGTCGTTGCATTTAAAAAGATATTAGTCTGGTTGTGGCAGTCAATTGAAACTTTTTTGTTGGTCTGATCTTGCCAAACTGTTGAGCTGTGTTGGTCTATGCTTTCTAACTATAGTTGTTTCATATAAGTGTGGACTATCTTTGAGTAAAGCTGCTTCTCCAAGGAGGTGAAACGAAATTTTAGTTTATTTTACCTTTTATTAGTCTATTTTAAAATGATTAAAATAATGAGTATTTATCCCTCTTTATCAGTGTAGGCTGGTTATGTTGGCGAGGATGCAGAATCTGTATCATCCAAATTACTCGAGGTATGCCTGATGCTTTAATAGCATTTGATTTTTTTTTCATTTTATTCATGTCCGGGCTGCTTAGTTAAGCTCATTTCATTAACAGTACTTCAGAGCGGAGTTGTGATTTTGGGAGTTTAAAAAAGAAATGGTAATTAGTTTTAAAAAAAAATTGATTCTTAGTATACTGTGTGATTTCACTATACAAGATTGAACATGATGTAAAATATTTAGTTTTCCTGTTTCCAGCAACATCGCAAAAAGATACACGCAAGTTGCACAAAGTTCAATTAATTCTTAATATTGATACTATCATTATTTAATATTGATACTACCATTATATAACTTCTTTTACCTTGTGCAATCTTTTCAATGTACTTCCGGTCTCCAGTATTTCTGATATACCATTGGTCAGTCATTCTCTGAGTAAAAATCTTGATGGCTTCTCTTGTTCATTTTTTGAAGGCTTCTCTTTGGGTTTTTACCGTTTCTGATTCCGTTTTGGTGATTTTTCAATTTCATTTCACATTGCTGATGGCAAACAGATATCTACTGCTTCTTCTAGCATTGCAGTTTGATATGTTTTTAATGACATGGTAGATGTGCACCAGCTGGTTGCCTAAAAGTACTTACCTGTGTTCTTTTCTAGACGATTTATGTGTTTCCATTTGATGACCATTCAGAAAGTATAAACCCAATAGAGTAAATATTTTATTTTTTTAAAAATATGATTTGTAATTGGAATATGGAAGCAGCTGTGTGATTCTACTGCAAAAAAAAACTGAAAATGTATTGTGCATAGAGAGAAATGCAGCTGCAAATATAAGGTAATCACGTAGTAGGAGATACATTTAAAACTGGCCCCTAGAACTGCAATTAACATATCAGTTTTTAGATTTGAAGAACTGTAGAGAGGTATTGATAAATTTGACTAGTTTAACAAGGAACTAGCTGGAAAGCCTGTGTTACCAATCAAAACTTGAAATGCTGCAGATCTTGGCTTTTTCTAGAGTGGTTAATTTGGTCGGTTGTGACACAGTTTTTGGAGGATTAGAGTAGAACGAACATTGACTGATATAAAGAAAAGAGAGGGTAATGATTTCCAAAGTAGTCACAATGATTTCACATTTGTGCTAGAATCAATTTTCATTTTCATTTTTATCTGTCTAGGTACAAGAGAATTATCATTATCACATTGTTGTGAAGTCGGTAACAATAAACCTTGTGAAATGGTTGCCCCTTTGGTGTTCTGCTGATTATTGCATTTGAATAGTTTCTTTTTGATGAAGGTTGCATTGAATAGTTTCTGTGGAGAAGCAGATTTACTTCCTATTTCCTTGTCAAGCAGACTACATGGTTCCTCTTTTGTAATCTGTTTAGCTTTTGCACTATCAGCAGCATAGTTATTCAATTATAAATCTTTGGTGTTCATGTTTGTTTACAGGCTGCTGACTTCAATGTCGAAGCAGTTGGGCAATACATAGACGAAGTTGATAAAATAACCAAAAAGGTTCAAAAACCATTATCTACTTTATGAATTTGGATAATTAATTTTAAAGTAATCATTCTCATCAGTCATCTGTCTAGGCTGAGAGCCTTAACATTGGCAGAGATGTATTTGAGGAGGGCTTCCAACAGGCGCTGCTGAAGATGCTTGAAGGAACTGTGAGTATTTATTGCAAGTTATTTCAGCTGTTTGTTCCAATTGCCTATTACTCTTGTAAACATGTTTACAAATTCATAATTGTAGTTCCTGGACTTCAAATGTGTCCTCTTTCTAAACATTTTTCTGAGATCAGTAATCTCACTTGCTCAGTTTATCTTTATTTCTTCTTCCGATTGTAAGTGTACCTGACTATAGAGCATGGAAACATCCATGTGGCGATACGATTCAGGTATATAGAATCTATTAAAGCCTCTTTTATCTACTCTTTTTTTTAAAAAATTTGCAGGCAAACAGTTGTGGGAAAAGCACTTACCCCTTGCCTTTTGGATGGTAACATAGTTTAGTGCTTTTTAGAATCAATTTGATTATGTTGCGGGTGAAAAACAGATCTCTACTGGGAAAGATTGTTTGGCCAAGGAAAATCAGATGTCGGACACTGACCTATTCAACAAACAAGAAACAGGACTTCTTCAGCTAAGTTCACATATGTTGGGAGGGGGAAGTCAAGTTAAATACTGGTTTATAGGCCTTGGAGCAATCATCTACAAAGGATGTGAAGTTGTAACAAGCTGGACATTCCTTGTTCAATAGCTCATCACTGTTAATTCTTGATGCTGCCTGCTCTTTATACTTTTCCATACACTAATCTGCAGATAGCTAAAGCTATCCTTTTTATTTGTGGTGGAGCTTTTGTTGGTAGAGAAGACAATTTCAGAAAGGTTATCTGTCAAACTCAATTAATTTCATTAAACACATTTAAGTTAAGTGATATAATATGGTTCAACTTATCATTCTTTTACTCCCAGACGACAAGATTCTTCAACTGGATTCGGAGTACCTGTTCTAACTAACATAAGAGTTAGTGGTCTAACTGATGCTGTAGTTACATCATCACTATTGGAATCTGTGAGGAGATGCTAAAGCTATCCTTTTTATTTGTGGTGGAGCTTTTGTTGGTAGAGAAGACAATTTCAGAAAGGTTATCTGTCAAACTCAATTAATTTCATTAAACACATTTAGGTTAAGTGATATAATATGGTTCAACTTATCATTCTCTTACTCCCAGATGACAAGATTCTTCAACTGGATTCGGAGTACCTGTTCTAACTAACATAAGAGTTGGTGGCCTAACTGATGCTGTAGTTACATCATCACTATTGGAATCTGTGAGGAGATCCCTGTGACTTGAGTGTAGTTTTCTTTTTCGGATCACTATTTTGTAAATCTAATGATTTCATGACTCTTTATTCTCGTGAAATTCTAAAAACCAAATGCATCGGAAGCATTCATGTCACATTGCTTTCTGTATCTAGGTAGAAAGTGACGATCTCACTGCGGATGGACTCATATTTGTGGTGCGATTTCCAGTATTAGTGAGTTTATCTTCCCTGGATGAGGATTAGCTTGTTCAGGTTTGTCTACTCTTTTCACCTTTTGGCATTGTAGTTTCTAGTTTCATGTTTTCCTGATTTAATTGGCTATTTGGGAACTCCAACTGTGCTTAGGAGGTTGGTGGTATTATTTTATTTTTCCTAGAAAATATATGAAGATTAATAATCAGTATGTTCCTATGCTCTATTGATAAGTAGCTACAGTGGCTTGGTCATAGCAGTTAGAATTCAGCTTTATTGTGTGTGACTTCTTCTTTACCTGTTTCCTCACTCCTAGAGCTCTTCTTTACCTGCGATGAACAATTTTTGTTTTTCTTTGATGTTGGTTTCTTTTTGACTAGTACATCCTTGTTGGCAAGACACTTGTTAGAGTTATTATACTGTGAATTGAAACTTTGTGAATTTGTAGTTCTCCAAATAGTAGTTCTTCAACCCTCTAACCTTGTTTGAGTAACACATAGCTGGATCCTGAATTTGTGAACTGTATGGATACCTGTCTATCAATTGGTGATGTAGAAATTACCTTCTGTTTGATGAGACAGGATCATTCAAATTTGCTGCTCTAGATGATCTTGTTTAACTATGGTGCATGGAATCATTACAACAAATACATCCCTATGATTGGTTTTGGATTTGTCCTCTCTGATCTTGAGACTTTCTGTTCGCAATTTCTTGTTCCTCACTCAATTTGTTCTTATCATTTTTAGTCCCGGTGGTATTTTCCTCATCAAGCCAACCAATTGCCTTCTGAATTAACTGCAGTAGTAAGTAGATAGGTTTAGGCAATTGATGTGACCTAAACTATTGACTAGTAGGTGAAAGGAGGATATAGGAAGGAACTTTTGCATCTTTTTATGTAGGACGGCTTGGGGATTTTTTTATAGCAATGGTATCTGAGCCATCTCATACGCACCTCGACTATTCCAATGGGCACCGGACCTCCGACCAACACCAGGTACCGAGTTAAGTACCCCCAAGGCTTAGACAAATGAGAAGAAACCACCTACTATTTTTTTCCCTCCAATGATATTTAAACCCGAGATCTCGTGACTGTCCTTGCACTTTATTAACTACTAGGCCAAAACCCTTGGGTGCAGGACAACATAAGAAAGTTAAAATGAATAATTTGCCTCCGAAAAGTATGTATCATTTACTTGTTCCTTCGAGACAAAGGAAAGAATAAACAAAAGGTTTTGATCCATAAATTGTTCTTTACATGTGAGCTTATGTCGGTGTTTGACGACTCAATGTAGCCTAATTTTGTCTCTAACTAAAGATTAAGATTAAGATTTTTTCTTTCGATAATGCAATAAATTTTATTAATGTTAGGCTAAAAAAGTGCTAATATAGAAGTATACCAAAAAGTAGAAACCTGCAAATACAGATGGTTTTCTATGAACTCCACCCAATCATCTATACATAAAGAGACTTCATGTATAGATGGGGTACCATCATTCATTCAATGTACAAGACATCTGCAAGTGCCTTCCTGTGTGCATAATTGGTTGTTTAATTGCTTCAAGTCTTTTTGTTCAATGCTAGTTCTTATGAAATAAAATATTCCTCCATCATTCCAAATGAAGAACGTGTTATGCTGTTCATTAATATTAGGCAAGATTGTAGGTGTATTGTCAATGCGTGCACAATTTGTTCTAAGAAGTGATGCTGTCATTCTTCTGTATATAATTCTTATCAGCCTTCTATTTGGGGAACTCAAACACTCTTTTACTATGTTTATTTTCTAATGCACATATGCTTAGTTGCTTTTTTCTTTTTATAAGTTTCTCTATTGTTGTCTCCTTTCCAGGGAATGAGCACTGAGATTAAGTGTGAATGTCTTGACATACTATGTCATGTTCTTCACAAGTACGGGAATTTGATGGACACTCCCCATGACTCATTGTTAACTTCATTATTGCCCCAGCTGAGTTCCAATCAACCTAGTGTCAGGAAGAAGAGCATTTCATGTATAGGTAACCTTGTTATAAGCTTCTCTGTATTGTATGTGCTTTAAATTTTGAATGGAGAGTGTATCAAGTTAAAACAGAGTTTGTTTGATGGCGTAGTATAGATGCTTTGAGAGATAGTAACAACAATTTTCCTTTCTGACATGGAAACATGAGTTAATAAGATTTCTTAGACTATCATGTACTGTGTTGGACTGGTGGCCAAGCTTTCAACTTTTCCTGCAGTAAATTCAGTTCAACCTTTTCTCTTTGTCTTCAAAATTGTCGGATGATTTGCTGGCGAAGGCTACAGTTGAAGTTGTTCGCCTTTTGAGCTATAAGAGCTCAAAATCAGAGATGATACGAACTAACATTCAGATTATTGGGACCTTAAAGTAGCAAATCCTAAATTATAATTGATGCTTGCATTTTGTCCTATTAAATGTCATGTAATTTTGATATACTTGTTTTAACTTTTAGACAAATGCCCAAGGACAATATACTTTTCTCAACAGTAGGTATAGTGAATACTCAATTAGCAGATTTCACATCCAATATTCTTCACCCTGTTGGACACTATGCTTGTCACTGCCCTAGAGAAACTTGTGACATAGTTGAAAGGGAAAAGAAGCCAGGTCATCATTTGACATTATTTTGACAACTGGAAAGGCTGACAGAGGAAGACAAGGGAATCAAGTCAAAGCTGACAGTGCTAATGAATACACGGATGATGATGATGTCAGTTGGAAGGTTAGAAGAGCTGCTGCCAAATGCTTAGCTGCATTGGTAGTTACTCAGCCTGAGATGCTATCAAAGCTGTACAAGCAGGTATGACTAGGAAGTGTGACCTATTTTAGCTTACTTACATTAAGCTATTTCATATTTGAAGTTTGATGTAGTGTTTACCCTCTATTTGACATTAGATTTTCCTTTCAAGTGTGTTGCGCAGATGTAGCTCTGCATTCTTTTTAAGTTGAAATGTTTCTATATACTGTGACTGTCCATTTGTCTCATAGTCATAATAAGCTAATAATGCCGACTCTAACCTTATTCAGGCTTGTTCAAAGTTGATTGATAGGTTTAAAGAAAGGAAGAGTAAGGTAAATTTGAAACGTCTTCTGAACTTCCTAGATAAATTGGTTTTAATGTCTAAATACTTGCTCGACAGATGGCACTGAATTGTTGCGACAAACAGGCAATGTTACAGAAGGACAGTCACTTTGTATGACTTTACTTGTCTTATTTTGTGTTTTCTGTTATCATTTTACTTCCAACTGTGGAAGACAGTCACTTTTGGGAACACCTGTTTCACTTTCAAAGACTGAATCTAAATATATGCTATTTTTAGTATGAACTTGAGCCCGGACAGTACAGTGCAGAAATAAAGCGGTAAGACAGTAAGAGCAAGGTTAGAAAGGATGTTGGTGCATTTTACATGGATTTGTTTTTAATTGCAAAAAATTGGATATACTATTGCCTAGAGGCTATTTGTTGGCATTTATTAAATTCGTGGGGTTTCTAGCCTAGAGCTATTTGTTGGCATTTATACAGAAAGGAAACCAAAGTTTTTGTTTTTTTTTTAAAGTAGAAAATCTCTTTTGGAATTAAACTAAAATAATACAAAAGAGGTCTCTTTACAAGAAATAAGAAAATTTTCCTAACACTGGTTATGGTGTGTGTAACTTCAAGCTTCAAAGTGTTCTTACAAGAAATAAGGAAAGTTTCCTAACACTTCTTTTATGGTGCATGTAGCTATCACCAAATGTTTTAGATACTTTTATTTATGCTGTGACTTCACATGCTAACTGCTACACTCAAGGTCTAAGAGAATGTGTGTTTGGAAAGTAAGATCAGTACAATGAGAACCACAGGGACGGAGCTTTGTTTTTTTTCGTAGATCTACAATACCATGTGCCAGCAGCCCCATCAAGCAATTCAACTTCAAGTTCAACTATGTTCTCGATATCGATACCATCATTATGTAACTTCTTTTACCTTGGCCAGTCGTCATTCTCATTCTCTGCGTAAATATCTTGATGGCTTCTGTTGATCAACTTTTTTAAGGCTTCTCTTTGGATGTTAATGCTTCTGATTCTTTTTTGGTGATTTTGCAATTTCATTTCACATTGCTGATGACAAACAGATAATGTACTGCTTCTTCTAGCATTGCAGTTTGATATCTTATTAATAACATAGAAGTAGCTGTGTTCCTAAAAGTACTTACCTGTGTTTGATGACCATTCAGAAAGTATAACCTAATATGATTTTTATTTGGAATATGGAAGCAGCTGCGTTTTTCTACTGCAAGTTTTATTACAATTTGCCTTCAATCTATAGTTTGTGTTTGATGGGTTAGTGATGTGAACAGTTTGCTCTCTCTTGTTCTTTTTAATCAACCAAAGGAGACTCCCTTGTTTCTCTCTTCACTTCAAAGAGACAGAAAATAATATTTGTGTGAGTAAAGACATCATTATACCACCCAACATCAGTACCCAATTCTGGGATTTGCTTTGTATGTGTATGCGGTTGTAGTACATCCATTACAGAAAAGTGAGAGATGAATGATTTGTGTTGATATTATATGTTTTGTCTATAATCATTATTTGTACTCATATATATAATTATACCTCTAAGATCAAAGGATGAATCTTAATTACACCACTAGTGATTTCATGAATATATATTTACTCTATCAAATTTGTTCAAAAGTAGATAATTTTATTTTGATTTGCATTCATAGCTAATGTATAAGAAATGATACATCGAAACTTCAATCTTATTATTAACTTCACGGGCGTGGAATGGGAGTATGGGTAAAAAGAAGGATCAATACGATATACTTACTCTAAATAATATACCCAACATATCCCACTTAAATATATAGCGTCAAATGTCAATTCATCAATTGCTATCGCAAATAAAAATTGGCCTACTGAGAGTAAAATAGAGAATGAACTCTCCAACCACACCTTGAAAAGGTATTTAGTTGAAGTATTTATCCCGTTCTTGAATTTTAAATAAAAGGTCAATAAACTTTAAGTTAAAATTAATTAATATTTAGTACATATATTTGTCAATATTTTTAAAAATTAATTTTTATACTACATGAAAATTATATAAGAGGTTATTTGGGAAAAAAGAAGAAATCATATATCATATATATATATAAAAGAGAACCCTGATCCCGCCTACGTGGCGCCACCACAAATCAGGATTCCCTTTTAATTTATTTATTTTCAAAATTAGCCTTCTCCTTTCATGAAAAGTTGTGACTTTTATGAAAAATTGTGACTTTTATTGAAAAATTATGACATTGATTAAAAGTTGTGACTTTTATGAAGAGTTGCGACTTTTATGAAAGATTGTGACCTTTCCGAAGAGTTATGACTTTTCCAAAGAATTGCTACATTTCCAGTAAGGCACAATAAGAATTTGTTCACATTACCCTTACTTGTCTATAAATAGAGGGGTTCCTCTCATTTTAAAACAACGAACATTCTGAACTTCTTTTTCTTCTTCTTCTTTTGCACAATTAAATATTTGATTCTAAACTTCTTCTTCTTCTGCACAATTAAATAGTTGTGTACTTTGCTCCTGTTGAGTGGCTCACTGACACTATTGTTTTTATATCATTAAACTGGTGAATAAAATAGTTTCATCCTGAGAGGATCTATTTCTATAAACCTCGGGTACCAGAGGGGAATTATTTTCTTAAGCAGACACTGTGCATTCAGTGGGCTCGATTTTTTCTTTCTATTTCATTCTATTGTTAATCCTGGTATGTTTTTTTTACAGTCATAATTTATGCTTATGATATTAATTGTTTTTTTGACTACATGTTTTAAACTTTGTTATTTATGTTTCTGTAAAGTTATTATTATAAGTATTTTTTAGTGCAGACTCTATGTAAATTCAACTATTGCAGATTCACAAATAATTTTTTACAGAATACATTTATTTACAACAATCTCCAAAGAAATTTTTTCTTCTCAAGAGATCAAGCCTAAAAATTTATATGATTTTTGTTGTTGTCATAATAATGTTAATATTAATGGGAGTTAAAAAAAATAGAAAGTCAAATGATAGAATTAAAACTAGCAATTATATGATACACAATGATGACTAATTTCTCATACCAAAGTACTTTTTTGAACTTTTTTTCCATTATCCATTACTTCAGACCTAATGGACTAATCCCTTATCTAGGATCGTAGATGCTAACGGGGCGGGAATCGAAGTGGGGGACCCCTCTACCGCCTGTGTCAGGATCCTTAATGTTTTATTTGTGCACAACTTCAATTCCCAAACACTATCATAACTATATTACATATGAAATTTGAATTTTTGAAGATTGCATTTTAATTTTAAAACACATAATGACTACATATTACTTATTGGTATATCATATGATTATGGAATTGTTGCTCTTGATAAACACATTAGTTATACATATATATTATTAAAGAATATTTAATATTTTGAAAGTAATTGATAAATTATACTAACGAAATTGGCAAAGAAAAAAATTGAGAAAAATATTTATTTGACTCTCTAATTAAAGACATTATGTAACTATGCATATAGATGATAAAAATAAACTAACCATTGTAAAATTACAAAAGCAAATTAATGAATCTATAAAATGAAATTATGTAAATTAAACTAGGAGAAAATAGTGTTATGATTTGTAATTTTGCCTTTTCTTTTAATAAAACAAATGGTAAACTACAATTGAATAACCTCTATACTCTTAAAAACAGATTTATATAAAATTACTATAACATCAAAATACAAGAAAAATTCTATTCTAGCTTTTTTTAAAGAAGAATGTTCTAACCGCGCGAAGCGCGGATCCATTTACTAGTGATTTATATTATGAAATAAGAAAATAAAAATAAAAATAATAATATAATAATAATGAGAGAAAGAAAAATATCTTTTAGAGAAGGAAAAAGGGCCTGATATACCCCTCAACTTTGTCATTTGGAGCTGATATGCCCCTCGTTATGAAAGTGGTTCATATATACCCTTACCGTTATACAAACGGCTCAATATACCCCTTCCTCACAAAATCATTTAACGGAAGTGAAAAAGTTAGTTTTAAATTTATATTTTTGACTTTTAATTTTCTTAAAAGTTATTTAGGGGTATATATGATTCTTCTAGCAAAGTTCAAGATATTTTTTAATCTTTTTTCATACATAAATTATTTTTTGACTTCTTTTATTATAATTATTTGAGTTTCTTATTCTTATTTTATTTTTTTCTTTCATTCCTTAGTGTAAAAAAAAAATTTAAAACTATTTTTTTTGTCTATATTGTAATTTAATTTTTGTATTTGAAGAAAAAAATTTGGTCATCTATAATAAGTTTTACAAGAATATTAGTGAAACATAAATAAATTTGACCATCAAAATAATAAATCTAAATTAGTCATTGAAACAAAAGAAAAGTTAAAAAATATATATATGTTTGAGGAGGATTAAATATATTCATATGGAATTATATATATATATATATATTTTTTTTTAAAAAAAATTAACCTGAATTTTTTTTTTTTCATTTCTGTTAGAGGAAAAAGATATATGTGAGTCATTTGTATATAAGTAGGGGTATATATGAGCCACTTTTATAACGAGGAATATATCAACTCTAAATGACAAAGTTGAAAGATATATCAAACCTTTTTCCCTTTAGAGAATAGTAAAATAGAAAATTGAATCCGACTTGTTTGTCTCAGACTATATAGAAAGACGCGTTCCCTGTATTTATTTACTTCTTATTTCATGTTCTTATAATAATAATTACTACTTTATTTATCATGATTAGAGAATTTATCAAGATTAGATAATTTATTGTAAGATAAATTATATAGAACATTTTACCGGCTAACAGTTATTTTTCATTGATCGTTAGGCGTTATTCCATTAAAATTCAATTAAATCTTAATTCTCGGTGAAAGTTTTCAATTCTATCACGCAAAGAGAACTTATCCGAAATATCTAATCAGTGTTTACTTTCCACTGAAAAACTTGTGCGCCGAAAAATACATTTTGCTTCAATCACAGTGTCTTCTTCCTCCGGCTCAGCCTCTCAAAATTTCAAATTCCGGTGACTGTTCATTCATACTCCGGCGAGATGAAAATTCCTGCATTCCTACTTCTACTAATCACTCTTTCACAAGTAACTCTGAATCCGACTGTTTCAGTCGCCGATTCCGCTTATCCGTCGCCGTATGGTATTGAAACGACTACCTCCTGTCAATCTACTGCTTCCGATGACCTAATTCCTGTCCGTCGTGAAGTTTACGGCAACGGAAGGATTTTCGACATTACTCATCGATTGACTCCTGATATGCCGTCCTGGGGATTAGAAGACGGGCTTGGCCAGTTCCTGTGGCTACCTAACAGCATGAAGAATGGCTCTCTTGCTAATAACTCCGAGATGAAACTTCCGACCCACACCGGCACGCATATTGATGCTCCTGGCCATGTCTACGATCACTATTTCGATGCTGGCTTTGATGTC